ATTGGAGATAGATAGATTTCATTTGATCGCTTCCGAAAAAGGAGAAAGATTACTATATCGATATATTTATGAATCAGCAAAGAGATATAATTTAATGGACACTTATTACCTCAAAGAACCAATAAATGCGAGTAAACTTTTTGAACAACTCGAACACAAACAAATTCAAGAACCATACATAATTCAATTAGATAAATCAGATAAATTAGATAAGATAATTTATGCAATTGATGGAAAAGTGTATATTGAAAAATTGGTGAATGATAATTGGATCGATTACTTGCGAAAAGAGGTGAAGGACACAAATAGCATTACAACCCCGTCTAAAAAGACATTTGACATTTTAACTGATATTATAAAGAGTATAAAGAACAGTATTTATAAAACTGAAAGGAAAGAAATTGAATTTAAAGGGAAATTTTTAAAATGGGAATTAGAAACAGGTGATAAATCTGTCATGCTTACGTGTATAAATAAGAGAAGAAAAAAGCAAATAAATATTTTCCCATCATTTTGTAATGATGAAAAGGATTTTATATTACATTGTGAAGTTCTTGAAAATGATGATTTCATTACGGTTACACGTATTGGTGTAATTATCTGGACTTATAAACTTTCTGGCATTAAGATGCATTATTATTGGAATAATTGTAATGATCTCTTAGAGAATTTCAATTTTGAAAAAACAAAGTTTAAAGATTTATTGGATCTCTTTAAAGACTGGACTTCAGATCGGATTCTTCCAGCTTCAAGTTATGAAACTATCCTTAAAAATTTAGATATCAAATTTTTTCAAAAAGAGAAAATCGAAGAAAAAGTGGTAATAAAGGAAAAAGAGATTTTCAAAGAGTTTATAAATAGTAATATCGAAGATGAATTTTATTTAACTTGCTATGGAAAAGATTTCATGAAAACACTTATTAAATTAAAGGATGATAAATTGATTCGATCTTTAGGCCAGAGCTGTTTGGAAAAGTGTGTGCAAAATGATAATCATCTGATTTCTAAAATTTCTTTGTTGAATATTATTTTTGAAAACTTTAATGACTTATCAGATAATCATCCTGCATTTATAGCAAGTATGTTAACTAATATAGGATTTGTAGTTCCTTCTACTACCGTAAATACAAACTCTACTTCTTCACACCTTTCCAGTTATGGGAGATACTGTCAATTATCTAAAACACAGTATCTTGATATATTAATTTCTAGTCTTTGGATTCGTTGGAATAGTTTTTTTCAAAAAGACCCAAAACATTTTCTAAATTTTCAAAATACTCATAATTCAATAATACTTGCAATTCCTCTACCAAACTTTGTTTCTTATCCAAAAAAGTATAATTTTTGGAAAGAATTATTGAAACCTAGTCCTAATTCTTTTACTTATTCAAATAAGATTGAAGCGTTAAATGAAGAATTTTATAGATATTTAAATGGAGAAGCGCTGCTTAGATTTAAATGGAATATTTATGGAAGAAAATATTATTTAGTAATTTGGACAATTTATACAGTTTTTCTTTTATGTTTCATATATGCTGCGACATACTACAAAAGCATTTCTCAAACTACTCTATTTATTCTCTTAAAAATGACTATTTGTCTTGGGTCTTGGCATTTACTTTTTGAAATACGCCAATTTATTTTCGATCCATCAACCTATTTGTTTAGTGCATGGAATTTTTTTGGTAATATGAACTTTTTTATAAAGTATTAATTTTTTATCATGTTATATTAATATATTATTATTCTCTTGCTTATAAACTAAGATTTAGGTGCATTTTTATTGCCAATGATATCGTCAATAATATGGCTTCAAAATAATGTCATGCCAACAGAATTGGTTACCTTTTCTACTTTATTATTGGAAATCAAGTTTCTTTTATTTTTTCGTGCAATAGAATTTTCTGGTTCTTATTTCGCTATGATACTTGGAGTAGCTCAAAGGGGATTTTCGTTTTTGTTAATATTAGGTTTTATTATAGTTGCTTTTGCACATTCATTACACCTTTTACTGCGCCCTTCCATTGATGTATCTTTAGACTACCCAAGCTATTCCACTGACCCAAATGATCCTTGGAATTTGGCTACAACTTATAATACTATAGATTCTAATGGTACAATTGAAGAAAATTCTTCACTTATTGAACCTCCTACTACAACTACAAATATGTTTATGCTGATGGGCTCAGCAATTGCGGCTGTTTATATTATGCTAACAGGTAAAATTCAAATTATTCTTTTTTTTTATATATAATCTGTAGCGATAATTTACCGACTTCTAAAATTGTACATTTTAATAGGAAACACATCCCCAATTTCTTACTGGGATTTAGACAGCAATCCTACTTTACTTGTTTTAACAATCATATTTTCTTTTGTGGCAACTATTTATTTAATGAATTTGTTTATCGGTTTACTAAGTAATGAAATAAGTGAAACTAAAACAAGAGAATCATATTTAATTCTAAGAGCTGAGGTACGACTTCTATAAACTGTACTTATTTAAATACACATTTTTTAAAACTTTATCATATTAATTAAATAGATATTAGAAGAAATTGAATTATTATATATGTCACCTCATCAACGAAGAAAAGAAAACTGGTTTCCATTTGTTATGTAAGTTATTTAATTGGTGTAAAAACAAACCATTATTCTTATTACTCATACATCTTTATATTTGAAGTTTTTATGAATGCCATACAGTTAAACTCCGTGAACATGTAATGATTACCCAAAAAGGTCAATGGGAAGGTTATAAAAAACCTTTTATTTCAAATAATCTTAATGAAGTACTTCAACTCCCCGAAAAACAGCCTTCTCTTATACAAATTGAGGAGAAATTTAATCAAATTGAGAAGAAATTCAATAATAAACAAATTGAAAATATGAATGAAATTAAGAAGTTTATTAACGATCTGCCCACTCTTAAGGATCTAAAAAAATCAATTGAGGATTTGAAAGGAATCAAATAATATTTCTATTTGAAATAATATTGATAGTAATTGTTTGGCGAATTTTAGCTATATGCAAATTTAATATTTTCATACGTGAAATGTTATTTTCGTGGATGTCATGCTCCATTTTTCAATTTATGCCAATAGAGTCATTCATAATTAGAAATGACTAAATCGTTTTCAATTAGTATAATCTTTTAGAAAATTTATTACGGTGTAATTAAACTTGTTTTACATAATAAATCCACATCTGTCAGATGAACATTTTTTAATATTATGAGTTGGTTAACGTTTACATTATGGATTAAATATTCTTAAATATTATAAATTGACGTTTCTAAATATTATGGATGAATGTTCCTAAATATTATGAACTAAAATTTTCATAAATACAATAGACTAGATGTTCTATTTACACTAAAGGACAGATACCATAAACGGAGTGATATATAATATCACGAAATATATGGTTTTGTTCTAATCTAAAAACTAACCAAAAACACTAAACTATCAACTAAACAATTTAATCTCTAACGTCAAGACGCCTAAAACCTTGAATTGGAAGGCGGAAAGAGGGCGTGGAAAGACTTGGTCCGAGTATCAAGGCCTTTTGGGTCTTGGCATAATGTTGCCGGGATTAAGATAAGTCTTGATGGTCCTTTTACTTTTTAGTTGCTTTTGTGGTATCGATAATTCTAACACTAATGACTCTTATTCCCTTAATTTCGAAGATATTATCGACTTCGGGGTCACGTGTGACGTAATGAAGATTATTGCGTCGATCGGCGTTTTAATATATTGTTAAGATTCTTGACGATACCACGTGTTACGTAATCACAACTTCTGGCGGCGATCAGTGATTTATGCGAAGTGATAATAGATCACGTGATCGAAAAGAGAAACAGCCACACAACTGCCTCATTCCCAGCCTCAGATGCTAGCACATGTGAAGATCAAACGAAGTGAGAAATTCACACGCATACATGGAATGGTAGTTTAAAGGATTTTGAGTTTGAAAAGACAATGTTTAAAGATCTGTTTGGGCATTGGATACAAGACTAATTCATCCTGCTTCAAGTTTATGAAACAATATATAATAATTTAAATATTGAGTTTGGCAATAAAAAAAACATTGCTTTTCAAGGAGTTTTTGGAAGCTAATATCATTGAAGAATTTTATTTAACTTACTACAGAAAAATTCTCATGGAAACATTTATTTCATTAAATGATGACAACTTTATTCTATTTTTAGACCAGAGCTGTATTGATAAATGTGTGCAAAATAACAATCATCCGATTTCTAAAATTTCTTTTTTAAGTATTATTTTTGAAAACTTTAACGAGCTATCAGAAAATCATTCTGCATTTATAGCAAGTGTTTTATCTACGATTGGATTTGTAGTTCCTTCTACTAAAGTAGTTCCAAAATCTATTTCCCGAATTAATATTAACTAATACCAGTTCTTTTACAAATTTTGATAAGTCTGAAATGATAAATGAAGAATTTTAAATGGAGAAGCACTACTTAAATTTAGATGGGATACTTATGGAAAATACTACTATTTAACAATTTGGGCAATTTACACAGTTTTCTATTAAGTTTCGTAATTGCTGCAACATATTACAAAAGTATTTCTCAGATTAACCTATTTATTCTCTTAAATATAAATATTTTTCTTGGAATATTACATTTAATTTTTGAAATTTGCCAATTAATTATATTCTCACCAGTAAATTATATATGTAACGTATGGAATTTATTTGGCAATATAAATTTTAACTTATAATGTTTTTTAAAAAATAATATTATAGCTAATATCGCTATTATGTATATTTTTTGCAACATAAATAAAGATTTAGGTACATATTTACTGCCAACAATATTATCAATTTATATGGCTTCTAAGCAATGGCGTGCCAACAGAATGGGCTACCTTTTCTACTTTATTTTTGGAAATCAGATTTCTTTTATTTTTTCGTTGCGTTTGAATATTCTGGTGTTTACTTCTCTATGATGGTTGGAGCAGCAGAAAGAGCATTTTCGTTTTTGTTAATATTGGGTTTTATTATATTTGCGTTTGCACATTCCTTGCATCTTTTATTGCGCTATTCCACTCTTAGTACAACTGAAGAAAACATGTTTACGACGATAGGTTCATCAATTTCGGCTGTTTATCTTATGCTAACAGTAAATTTTAATTTATTCATTTTTTTTGAAAGTTGTTAGCATCATCGATGACGATAAATAGCATGCTTTTTTGTTTTATAAAAAATAATAATAACCAAATGAGTAAATTTTAATAGGAGACATAGATCCGATTTCTAGCTGGAATTTAGCTAATAACGCCTCTTTACTTATTATAACTATATAGAATTAAAATAAAAAAAATTTCTCAAGTTTGGTTTAATAGTTGTTGAGTATTTAAACTAAAACTTTAAAAAAAATATTTGCTTGGTTTCAAATGACACCCACCATTTGATTGCGTGTAATAATAAATCATTATTTCTAATTAATCAATATTTTTATATTTATATTTGAAGTTTTTATGAATGACACAACAATGCTCCGTGAACATATACATGATACTCAAAACGATAAATGGAAATATCTTTCATAGAATCTTCAGAAAATTTTTCTACTTCCCGAAAAATCACAAATTGAGGGGGCTATTATGAACCTGCCCTTTATAGAAATTAATGGATCTATTAAATCTATGTCCACTCAAATTATGTGGATTTTTAAAGATTCTGGCCTCTCTTGAACAAATTGAGGGGGATCTTAAGGATTTAAAAGATCAATTGAAAGATCTGAAAACAAATAAATAGTATTTCTTATAGATAATAATTCTTTGGTGAAATTTTAGTTATACAGTACCGGACGGCAAAAAACATCCAATTTTTTTTTAAAAAGCGCAAATAGGATTGGCAAATTTTTATGTAATGAATTATGATTGGTTAAAAATATATATAAACAATTTTTTTTTTGAATTACGTGCTAATAATAGTAAACTTTATGTTCATCGCTCATGTGTCTTATTAGGCAGTGCAAGAGCCTCATGTTTGATGATTAAGCACCTTAGCTATAATAGCAGTGCAAGGATCTCACATTGTGATCAGGCTCCATGGATGCGATAGCAATGCAAGGATTTCATGTTGTGATTAGGCTATGGCTCATGTTTGGAAATTAAGCTCTGCAACTATGATAGCAGTACAAGGACCTTATATTGTAATTAGGCTCTGTGGCTGCAATAGCAATTCAAAGGAACTCATGTTGTGATTAGGCTCTATGGCCATTGCAGGCGTGCAAGAACCTTATTTTGGTGATTAAGCACTGCAACTACGATAGCAGTGCAAGGTCCTCATGTTGTAGTTAGGCTCCGTAGCTGCGATATATTAAATTAATTAAAATTCAATTAAATAGAAACCAATGATAACATTCTCATCTTACTGAATATGGTTAAATGTATTGCATAGTTTAAAAAATTTTTTGAAACAAAAGAAGCTTTTATATAATCTACCCTAAGCCATACCTTATTAAAAAAACAAAATAAAAATTAACGCTTTCTTGCTAAACACATATAATATAGTCCATGAATATTTTATTTCAATTTTGTTATATCTACAATTAACAAATTAGAATAGAAACCTATATCAACAGTCATAGAGCCTAATCACAACAGGAAGACCTTACAGCCACGGAGCCTAATCACAACGTGAGATTCTTGTACTGCTATTATATCTTTTGACCTATAATATAAAAAAAGTCAAAAGCTATTCAGATTTTGATCAGATTATTATTTTAAAAAATGAGCATTTTTCGTAATAAAAATCCGAACAAAATCTTGAAAAATTTTGCCTTTATTTTTTTTGGGCGGCTCAATCACCAAACATGATGTTCTTGCATTGCCTGCATCAGATATAGGGCCTAATCACAACATGAGGTCCTTGCATTGCTATCGCAACCATGAAGCCTAATCATAACATGAGGTCCTTGTACTGCATACTACAATATCAGGTATAGTACACTTATCTCAAACTCCCTTTAAGCAACTCAAGCGCCTAGTTTAGATCTTAAAAATATTATTTAAATAATCGAATATTAGTAATCATAAATCATTAGGGTGTCCCATATCAATCTAATTACAAACATAGTGGAGGTTACATAGTGATGATCACTAATTAATTTTTTCTCTAATAAAATTTTTCGGATCT